GATTGGTCCATAGGAGATGCTTAGCGGGGACATATCTGGCAATAGCCACTGGTGTCGCTACGATCGAGCCCAGTAATTCCAGTCTAGTTCGGCAAGGATGGAAACTGGACTTTTATAGCCAGTTAACTCTCTTGCCTCGGGAAGATGCAGGCAACTTACAAACACTTACTGTGTATTCAAATTGTGTGAGGGGGCACGGGTGGTCCAGTCGTCTAAGGCACCGCGATTCGCTGTGCAGAGTATCGTCCCTTAGGCACGCCAGAAACCTATGATTGTGGGTTCGAATCCCGGTTCGCCCCGTTTTGTTTCTGGGTTTGTCGGCACCATACCCGTGCTCGTGGGTTTCACCGAAGTGGTAAACGTCTGAGACCTGCATCACTTCGGGCTTTCCTCCCACATTAAGCTGACACGCCGTGATATGACTGGAATACTGTTAAAAGCGGCGTTAAACCCAACTCACTCACTCACTCACTCAAATTGTATGAGTGGCATATGTTACCGGTAGGGCAGGACATGTTTACCTTTTTCACTGATTTTCAGTGATCTATTCATATAATTTTCACCCCTATTTTGCTGTTACGCCCAATGGATAATCGAGACTGGTTGTTCTCTGGTGTTGACGTTTTGTAACCTTTCATAAAATATTTTGTTCTGCTATCTGCTGCAATACTTAAGGGTCGTCTATATAAGATGTTACCACATTTATAGTCTGTAAAAATGTGTTTAGGTATTAAACCGGTTTTATACATACTTATCTCTAAACGTGCTTTTACGCCGCTTTTAGCAATATTCCAGCAATATCACGGCGGGGGACACCAGGAATGGGCTTCACACATTGTACCCATGTCGGGAATCGAACCCTGGTCTTCGGCGTGACGAGCGAACGCTTTAACCACTTGGCTACCCGACCGCCCCGGCACTGGCAGTGACTAAATGTATCTTACTGTGCTGGAGAAAAATAAGGGACTTGTTAATGAGTTGCTGACATTGTCGAAGCAATTCCAAATAAGTGCTTCACATTGACTTTTCTTTTAAGTCAACATGATCAGACATTATAGTATATAACATCGGCGATAATTATCTTAAATATGACAATAACACGATAGATGGAGTTCCTGGTCGAAACCTAAATTTTGACATTTAAATTTCTCATACTTTCCGACGAAATATTGTCATTTTCCTGTATTGGCGGCCATCTTGGGGGCCATTTTGTCCGCAGTATTGGATATATAAAATTTCTTAAGCTCATATTTGCGTAAACGATCCATGTGTTAAAAAGTGTTGGTGTACAAGAATGGTATTGCTGTCATAGTAAATTGTTCAATATCTTATTATTTATTTGTTGTTGTTTTAACAGGATGTTGGGTGGGATCACAAGTACTAAATTTTCATACATTATATTATACCTACATTAATTGTGGCATTTTAAATAAGCTCCTAAAGCTTCCAGGCAGATTTTGATATATCAAACGACGTGATTGTCAATATGGAGGTTACATCATCTTCAGTTTCGTAATAATTTGAAAATGAAAATAGAGTGATTTTTTTCATGTTTTCGACACATTTTGGCTCATATCTCGATTTAAACAATTTTGCTAATTGTTGATTTATTCTACTTTAGGTTTCCAAAGTCATCACACCGATTTCTTTATAAAATGCGCATTCCACTATGCAAACTGACTTATTTAGAGCCATTTATTTGACTTACTTAATTTTTACACATAAATATGAATTTTTACACCAAAAAACATGCCTGCTACCAAAGGAAATCCCCACAACCAGCATTTTCCAATGCATAAATGACATTTTATGAAGAAAAATGTGGATGTGCTTTGTGGGGAGGGGTTACTCCTTAAATAAACCTCATCTTATGGGTTTGGCGCTGCTCCGTTCCGTTGTATGGCTACGCACTTGCCTGGGGAAAAGGTGGGTAGCATTTAGTTCTCGTGTATTATACGCACCCCTAATCATGGAATCTAATTTTGTTTTGAAGCAAGTGCGTATTATACACGAATAAATACGGTAATTCCTTTTTGGATTTGAGACATATGACACATTGCCGGTCGCATTGATGTTTTAATTCCTAGTTTTTTTAGGGCGCAAAACACTGCAAATGTTAACTCGCTGACCTTAAAAGCTTTTCACAGCCACCTAAGTCAAGGCTGTACACATGGCACACAATTGATTTATAACGTGTGTGTGTGTGTGTGTGTGTGTGTGTGTGTGTGTGTTTGTTCGAACTTACAAGGGGGAACGGGTGGCCCAGTCGTCTAAGGCGCCGCAAAATTCGCTAGAAACCTATGATCGTGGGTTCGAATCCCGGTTCGCCCCGATTATGTTTCTAGGTTTGTCAGCACCATACCCGTGGTCGTGGGTTTCACCGAAGTGGTAAACGTCTGAGACCTGCATCACTTCAGGCTTTCCTCCCACATTAAGCTGACACACCGTGATATGACTGGAATACTGTTAAAAGCGGCGTTAAACCCAACTCACTCACTCACTCACTCGAACTTACAACAGTGTGTGAGTGAGAGAATGGAGTTCACCTTGACAATCAGACAAGGATGTATACGAATATTGAGTTATTTGGAACTTATGCCCTCAGCGAGAATAGTTGATACCCATGATGCACGACACTTATTACCATAATGAAAACCATTCTGACATCATTACCAAAGTTCAAGTTAGAGACGAGCATCATATAGTTAATCAAAACGGAGATTACCCTTCTCGCTATGAGGCTATAGAGCGATTAGGACTACACAAGACTTGGACAAATGACATTTACACAGCGGATAAATGTTGATTCACTTCTCATTATCCACAACGCATCAGTTAGAAGATTTTAAACTGGAGACATAACCTGATATATGCTGGTCGGGTTATAATTAAACTAAATGTCATAAAAGCCAAGAATAAATCGTATTACACGACTAAAATTTGATTTCGTGTCCACCATTGCGACATTCTTATTGACTTCAAGCAAGTTTTTGACAAGGCGGACCCATCAGTGTTTCATTAACTCATTCTGTTGCCATGGATACATAAGTGACAATAATGTTCACCATTAAAGGTGTATTTTGTGGTCCCAAAGTTAGAACAGAGGGGCACTAACATAAAATATTAGACAAGAGTTTTTTTATGTTTACAGAATTTTTGCCCCCAAATCCAGGTTGGTAGATCGAAAAAAGGAAGCGACTTCCAATTTATGTTTTTTTCTGTTTCCTAAAACTGTTAAACATTTAGGAAAACAAAGTTGGGGTGGGAATCTTTTAGTAAATGAGTTTTTTTTTTATATGTCGTGTATTTCTGGTCGGCGGAATAAAAAACAACACTGCTTTTCTTTTATTTACTTTTTTTCACATTTCTTTTTTTGGGAGTCGGTCGATAAAAGTCTATTTTTAGCTGCGGAGCATTACGCGCGCAGAAGACACTTGTTGTGCAGAAGGCACTTATTGTGCAGAAGACACTTATTGACAATGTTGTGTTCCTGGCGTTAATTGTCCGTTGGAGAAATGCCATATTCGCCATATAAGCCTATCGATGCCATAGTGGGTCAGTGAGTATGGTTTTACGCCGCTTCCAGCAATATCACGGCGGGGGGCACCAGAAATGGGCTTCACACATTGTACCAATATCGGGAATCGAACCTGGGTCTTCGATGTGATGGGCGAACGCTTTAACCAGTAGGCTACATGACCGCCCCCTCGATGCCAAAGGAAATTCTTATACCGCGTACGGACATATTGTTGTGCATTGATCATTGACATGCAACCGAAACATTCTAAACTAGTGCCGCCTCCCAACACTAAGTCTACGCCGTTTGTGAATCGATGCTCATCGTCTTGGGCACGCCAGAGGCATGTGGTGTGGGTTTGAATACCGGTTCGCCCCGATTATGTATTTTGTTTCTCGGTTTATCAGCATCATACCCGTGCTCGTGGGCTTCACCAAAGTGGTAAACGTCTGAGACCTGCATCACCGCGGGCTTTCCTCCCACATTAAGCTGACACGCCGTGATATAACTGGAATACTGTTCAAAGAGGCGTTAAACCAAACTCACTCACACTCCGACTGAGCGACTGCATTTGTCATTATGGATATGAACAACGTATATTTTACGAGCGCTTCCTAAATGCAAACGCAATGACATATTTTTTGTAAGAAGGCGAAAGAGTGTGTTTGGTCAACGCCGCTCTAAGTTTTCCAACCATAATCTGACATCTCGGCGGTGTCTAAAAGATAGGAAATCGATAACAATGTGAAAGAGTACAAAACCTAGATTGATATTTGTATTTTCTTGTCAAATAACACATATATACCTTATCTCATGAAAAAGATAATGCCAACAATTCAAATTATGGCCTAAGTATCTTTTATCAAAAATGCTTAGATTAGTGTTAACGGAGCGCTGGGTATTGATTGTAGTCTTGTGTGATGTGGTTCTTGTACAACTGGGCACGTCAAGGGCGACGCACTGCGTATTTCCGACCGTCGTGACTCACCACTGGAACAGCCTGCTCGGTGTGTGTTTACAGTTTTGCATGGCCTTCTGTAACTCCATTCAGTAATCCTCGGCATACATCTTCACACAATCAAAACCTGAGTATAAACTGAGATTTTGAAACGTATTTTTTCAAAATATGACGAGACGAAAGTTTAACATTAATCAAAACTGACCCTAAAGTGGGAGTCATTAGAAACTAGACTTTGATAAATAGGTTAGTTGGGGCTCTTGCCGCGGGAAGACGAGATCAAATTCACTACGGCATGCATTTGTTATTTACGTCCGCTTTGATCAATCGAATTAATTCATACGGTTGCCTCCCTTGACATAAAATAATCCAGTGAAACAAATAGTTATACTGTTGATATTATAAATATATTCAAAAGTGTTGATTTTAAACATAACATGCAATATATAACCAGACTGGTTTTCATAGAAATAATCTTGTTTATTATTATTATAGAATTCCCACAACGGGCGCATGTATCGTCGAACTACTTTCGTAGCCATATTTGATATCCAACTTCCGCTCAAAGTTTCAGTCATAACCGAAGGAAATTAATTATTCTAATTCATATTGTACGTTTGTTGGACTGTTACGTGGTACATATATGCTGAAGCGTGTAGAGACAATGTATCTAGAACAGTCATCCGATTGAAAATCCACGTGTGTATTGCTTCGATCGAGTGTGTCTAGTTTGACCCATCTGACGTTTCAGGTTTGACTGAGAATAGGACTGCTCCGGATTTCATTTCTCGTCTCGTGGATAATTAGCTGATTTATCTGTCATGTGTTAACTATATATGTATTCGAGTATATTGATGATTGACATTGATGATATATATTGGTTTGGGTTAGCTGTATAAGTAGTCTTCAGTCCTAATCAACATCTTTTGACCGTGGTGTCACAGTGACACCTGTTAGACCAGTCCATAATTCACATAATAAAATGTCCATATGACACCAGATACGGTGTTATGGTTAAGTGACAGCACTTTGTAAATGGAGCTGACATCTTTGTGATAAGAGGTAATTAATGCACATTGGGAAAAAATGGCAGATGATGCAAAGAAGTTTCAGACTCCAGAAGAGGAGCTGAAATATTGGAGAAGCCTTGCTGAGAAATTCAAGCAAGAGTAAGTTGATTTGTCTATTCTGATAATGTATCTCACGTTTGGCTAATTGAGTGTTGATTGTAAACAGATCTTACAATAACCATTATAACTGATGTTCATGGAAATTAATTCCTTTTGCAACTGTGCAATGAACGTCTTCATACATGAAATAGGATGCCTGTGCTCAACCATGCCTAAAATGATATTATGTCTGTACCATGCTTGAATGTTGTGTTCATGTGTTTGCAGAAGTATTAGTACATAAATCCCATTTTTTAACTTTTATGTTCATGCTGATAAGATCATTTGAGTATTTTATGAATAAATCATGTTAAATGGTGTTATGTTAAATGGACAAGATGTCGACCGTTCTAAAACTTTGTTTGTAAATAATAGCTGATAACGCCCGAGCTCTGCATGCCTTATTCCGTTTCTGCTCCAATGACCACACCGCATATGTAGGCTTATTACATGACTAGGCTTTTCTCTTGTTTGTAAACAAACACACTTATTCTGTAATAAGAACAGACGGGCCTAATCTAATGCAAGCCTTTTGGTGTGCTGAAGTTACATATTGTTTCTTATTCTGATATGGAAATACTACTACAACTGAGATAGTGAGGTGCATGACAACGCACCTTTACACACCAAAGTGACCGTATATCGCAAGCTCTCCGTAGGGTTTCGATGATCGGATTTGGATGAAAAATATGCAAATGGAAATAGTTTTCCATGTTCTAGGGTATTTTCTCAATGAAAGATGAAACATTTCTAAATGTGTAGCCTCGTCCCGATAAATCAGATGAATGGGTAAGATGTGACAGAGGTACTCTGCTGGCTTCAAGGAGCTCTTAGTAGGAGAGTGATTGGCTTCATTTGACCGATATATATATATATATATATATATATATATATATATATATATATATATATATATATATATTGTAATCTAGGCTTTGATAAACACCTGTCTCTAATCCAACTGGCAAATGATATTTTGTCACTCAGTTACACACAAGCCTTCTCTTCAATTTGCCTCAATCGAAAAAAAAGACTGAAGCCAGTTTACTCTGCGCAGTGCTTGCGTTGTCAGCTTCACTGTGCGGAGATGTATTGTTTTGCTTTGAGAATTGAATCGGCCATGACATCACACTCAGAAATTATTTCATGCAAAATTTAAGAACACAACGTCGACATACTGTTCCTTGAATAAGGTAATTTTGGGTGAAGTAGCAAATAATCAATGACCCACTAAACATACAAAAAGATCCAAAGATTTCCATGCCTTGCTGGTGAATACCACCATGATCACTGATGGATTTGATGGACGTGAAATCCTGCATCCTATATGTCCTATATGCATAAAAATTAAAAATGTTTAGTACTAGCACTTGTTGTTTCAGTAAAGGAATTCCATATTTATAATTAGGCAGTGGCCTCAGAGCATGCACAATAGTATATATATACATCAGTTGTGTGCTACAAGGCATGGCCAAACAACAAGGTTTGAAAATGTTTTTTAGCAGGGAAAGATATAGTACATCTTCAACATGTTCAAGTGCAAACAAACATGATTTAAAAAATAATAATTAATAAATATTAACATTGTTTATTCAATATTTGACATTGTTTTACATGGGACTAAGACAATTAAAGCGTGCGAGTCCCCTGGACCCCGAAAATAAATTAATCACTGGAACAAATTCTAGGATTTGAAATGATACAATGGTGCAAGTGCTAACTCGAAAGCAGCATTATAATAAATAAACATTATAAATGCCCTATAAATAATTTAGCTGAGATTGTGTTTACCTGTAGGTCACACAGTGCCACACAAGTTATTGCAACATTAACATTTGTTATGTCATGCATGAGGGATCACTGATCACACAGTGCACAAACATTCACCATGCTTCCCATGCATGTTAATGTGACTTAGTTGTGTTCATGGTAAAACCTTCATGGTTAAATGGACACTTATATAACCAGTTTAGTAAATATAGGGATGCATGTGCAGCTAGCCAGCTACTGAATGTATTAGGTTGCTTTCAGTGATGGCTTTACTATGATAATTATTTTTCATGTCCTAGTTTTATGTTCATATGGCAGTTGATAGCAGCAGGGGTTAAAATACGTGAAAGCCATTGTCATTGACATGATGACTCCATAACTAACAGCACTAAGCATGCTGAGTGTTGACTTGCTTAATGTAATAGATCCTGTGGCATGTCAGTTTTAAATCATGGAAATAATGGACCTGTTAACATGGTGTATGGCACTGAATTTTAATATATGTAACAGCCCAACAGGTCTGATACTGTGCAGTCATTGCATTTAAGTTCATTAATGCATTGAAAACAAACCAATATCACCATGATTATGGGAGAAGACTCTGAAATGAACTATTTTACCCTTGCAGAAGAAAGCAGTTGTTAAATTAAAGTTATGAAATATAAGAAACTGAGGCGTTCTTCATTTTCCAATACTGCAACTGGGCTTGCCAAATATTGTAGACTTGCATGGGCTGTATTGGATATATTTGTTTGAAAAACTATTACTGGAGGTCAACATGATCTTTCTCTTGACTTGTCTGAGATATAAAATATATGTTACACATCAGGATACATGCTGAAGATTTGTCCTTCATCATGTTTATTACATGCATACCATACATGTGCATGCTGTGGGTTTAGTTGGTTTTTATAATAGCAATGAATACCGTTCCAATGTCTTTGCTTGTTACTTAGCAGCGTTAGAATTGGTATTTGTCCAATAGTCCTTGCCAAACTGCCCATTAGCTAAGGTACCATAAGGGACAAGTTTCTTTGTTTGTTGTTTAACGCCATACTCAGCAATATTCCAGCTATATGGCATCGGTCTCTAAATAATCGAGTCTGGACCAGACAATAAAGTGATTGACATGCACATCAATCCACACAATTGGGATACAATGACATGCATCGACTATGATTGAGTCTGAGCACCCGATCCTGTTAGTCGAAAAATTGCTATTTTTAATGGTTTTGGTATATGTTATCATTATAAGGACTAGTGGACTTAAAATGTTTTCTATCGTTGCTTAACATCAGTATGATGTTTCTCATGTTGTACAGGGGGGCACGGGTGGCCCAGTCTTCTAAGGCGCCGCGATTGCGTCCCTTTGGCACACGTAAACCTATGATTGTGGGTTCGAATCACGGTTCGCCCCGATTATGTTTCTAGGTTTGTCAGCACCATACCCGTGCTCGTGGGCTTCACCGAAGAGGTAAACCTCTGAGACCTGCATCACTTCGGGCTTTCCTCCCACATTAAGCTGACAAGCCGTGATATAACTGGAATACTGTTAAAAGCGGCGCAAAACCCAACTCACTCACTCATGTTGTGCATGCACAAGGGCCAGTGTACATATACTAACTGTACCAACATAGAACCAGATGTCAAATTCGTTACGTGATTTTGATTGGACTATGCATAGACTCATTAGTCCAGTCAAAACATAACCATGATAACATTGAAATTCACGTCTAGTTAGGCAGGGGTGGAAATTGGACTTTTAAAAGTTTTATACATGTAGTGAGTTTAATAACTTACTTGCCTCGGTTGATGTGATGAACAAGTTCCAAGGATTTCACGATGACCATGAAAATGAACCTTTGGGTATCATTTGTTTGTTTTTTGTTTAACGCCACACTCAGCAATAGTTCAGCTATATTACAGTGGTTTGTATGTAATCAAGTCTGGACTAGACAATCCAGTGATTGACATTAATGACAACATGAGCATCGATTCACGCAATTGGGATCGATGACATGCATCAACCAAGTCAGCGAGCCTGACCACCTGATCCTGTTAGTCGCCTTTTACAACAAGCATAGTTGCCTTTTACAGCAAGCATGGGTTGCTGTCAACTTGCTGAAGATCTATTCTACCCCGGATCATCACGTTCATGTTCATGTCTATCTGTCTCATGTTGCCTTTACATTATTTTAATGGATATGTAAGCATGGCACATCAACGTCGATCGTAACAATTGCTGTATGTTTCAGGCTTGAAGAGACAAAGGAGGAGCTAGAAGAGTTCCAGATCAGCAGCCGAGAACTAGAATGTGAGCTGGAGACACAGCTAGAACAGCTGGAAAACAAGAATAAAGAATTAATGGCTGATAAACACAGGCTCACTGTTGAGTGTGAATCATTAAAGGTACAGAGATTACTTGATAACACTATCAGTGTCATCAGTTATCAGATGAGACAGCACTGTTGCACTTTAATCGCTTGGTCATTGCTTGTTGTTTGTTAAGGTTTTTCTGAAAACTAGCTGTTATCTTGTTTTATTGTTTGTGTACATGGCATTATTTTTTTCATATCTAACATGTCAAATGATCCCTCTCTGTATTTACTTACAATGTTGACATGGTTAACATCTTTACTTGATGCGGAAGGTCCGGGGTTCGATACACGGCCACGTCATCCCAAAAGACGTTAAAAGATGGTACTTGTTGTTACCCTGTCTGGCCCTCAGCATTAAGAGGCTAAAACAAGGACTGGTTGGCTCGGAGTCAGTATACTGTGTCTGAGTGCGGTATTCATGTTAAACTGGGGCGTGGTATCTCAGTGAGCTAGCACTATAAATCCACATCAGTCCTGACTTTTTTTTTTGTACAAACAGCCACACGCACACGCACACGCACACGCACACGCACACGCACACACACGTGCATGCAGGTCGCTATATAAGTGCAATAATCTTGGACGCGACGTTAAACCCCATTTCACCTCATTACTTGTAAGTTTTAACATTACACAAAAGAGAAGGATCTCAATTTGAATGGAATCACCATTGAATTCTGATCATGAGCATCTGCTCTTCCAAAATTGAACGATAGATGTTTTTTGTTAATGAAAATTTTACTTGTACATATTGTCATGGTTATACATTTGTGCTTTCTTATATTTCTTTTTTTGTCATGTTAATAATCATGTTGTTTCCTTAACATTATCATGAATATCGATGCTGATAAATATTGTTGCAAAGTTCATGATGTAGATTATCATTATGTCAAATGGTTATTTATCAGTGTTTTTCGCTTGTTACTTTCAGGAAAAATTAGAGATATTACAAGGTTCCAGCCATAAACAAGTTTCTCTTTTAGAAGATGAACTAGCTCAAGTTTCTGCATTTAAAGATGAACTACAGAAGTATGTACGGGAACTAGAACAGGCTAACGATGACTTAGAAAGAGCTAAAAGGTATGTGCTGTTCACATGGTCTATATTGGTTAATACATAATGTTATTCTAATAGTAATAAGGATCTTTCCTTATTGTGAGAATTGAATGACATAAGCATGATGAGACTGAATTATGTTGAGTTCTTTGCTAAGTGTCATCCTTACAAATGCTTTAAGCCTAGTTAACATGGCTCAAATTAAATTGATAAAAATATATATAGAAAATTACAGACTGTTTACCATTGCCTACGTTGACAATACTTATAGGTATGGCCAATTTATCACAGTGTTCAGATCTCATATTTTGCTAATCTGTCCTATGTGGTTTTTCATAAGATGTTTCAATTTTTGCAGAGCTACAGTTGTATCCCTTGAAGATTTTGAATCTAGATTAAATATGGTAAGTGTTAGTTTTGCATACATTTTCAACAAACTAACGATGGTGCTGTGCTGGTCTGTTCCATACTTTTTCAGCTATCAAGAACTAGTTCCATTACAGAGCCAGTTAAACTGAGCTCAATTTATTCAAGATGTAGACTAGCTTTTGAAGGTTTAGCTGATACACTAGTACTAGTAGTAGTCAAGTTACTAAGAAGTCTTCTAGACACATAAAATATAAGCTGTACTCATTTGAATTACCAGTACTCATTACTGAAACAGGGTGGTAGATATTATCAGGATTGTCTAAAGGCTATCAATTCCTTAATCATGTTAATAATAGTGTTGTATTTGTATCTTGGTGTTATTGTGTCTGAACACGACAATGAAGTAGAGGATGCATTATGCATATGTATGTAGGAAGTGTATATTCAATCTCACACCAGGATTTATACTGTTATTGTAATACTTGTAACGGTTACAGGCAATAGAAAGAAATGCATTCCTTGAAAGTGAATTGGATGAGAAAGAGACCCTATCAGAGACGGTACAACGACTCAAAGATGAGGCAAGAGGTTAGTAAATAGCCAACTGTTTGTTGCAATCATAATTTATGAACATTTGGTTTATGAAAAGTTATATATAACAGTGACAATATCTGTGCTTGAAGTATGATCATTATTTGGTGCATTACAATATATTATATGTTGTGATGTCCCTTTAATTTGATCGTCGAGAATCGCTGCACAAATTGCTGATAGATTTATCATTCACTCACTTTGACATGTTCCTGTTCAATTTGTCACTCACATGTTCGTTACAATATAATCTGCATGATCCATGTTAAGACATTGTGAAACTGCTAAGTCATGACATTGTAATGTTTACCATGTTTGGAGTTTAGTGATGGGCAACTAAACTTGACAGGTGGTACTCCAAAGTCAGTGTAGAATAAGTAGTTAATGATCAGTTTACAGAGTTGTACAAACACTGAAACAGGACCTCTATTAGAGTTGTATATACTGGGTACGCAGATCTGGTAACTATTGTCAGAGTAGGAGCAATGGTCCACAACTGTATAAAAAGTGTCAAATGCGGCTACTGGCTATGTTTTGATGAGTTTTTATTGGGTCAGATGTTTAAGGTGCCTAGGTCATGAAAACTTTTTTTCTGGGTTAGCCACAGCATAGCAATTACAATGAAATATTAGTTCCCACACATACATACCTGGATGGCAAGGTTTCTGGACTTATAATGTAGGGGTGTCACGATAAGTCAAAATATCGATATATTGCTATTGGTAAGCACTTAAAGTCATTAAAACGAAATCAGTTTCCGATCAATAGTATCGATTTAAGTTTGGAATATCAATAGTTTCGATTGTACATGCAATGCTGTTCAAATTTATTTTTCTTTTGATCATGAGTGGTAGTAATTTACACATGGTAATGTGGAAGTTTATTTTTCTTAAATTATTAGGGTTAAGAAAAAACAAATCGGTCATATCTCAAACTTTACTTTTTATTTGTTGTTATGGTTATCACATTCAAAGGAAACTTCAGTTCCAAGCTTTAATTCAACTCTAAAATCCATCTAAAATGATACAGTGAAAACTATTGATATTTATCACAATAATTGCTTGAACTATTTATAGTTATCACAATAGTTTCTTTCAATATCAATAGTTATCGCAATAGTGATTTCCAGAGTAATAGACACCCCTATTATAAGGTATCACAGTATTTACAAACTGACCTTGAGGAAAAAATCCAATCATGGTAAGAAGTACCAATCTGTAACAATTACATGTGCCTTGTATTATGATCACTGGCCATCATGACCCACAGACTCTAAACGTGGTAATGGCAAGGAGAAATCCCGCAACACATCATGATAATCCTGTCTCCTTATTTCAGACTTGAGGCAGGAGATTGATGTGCGAGAGCGCCAAGAATTGATGAGCACAAGCTGTGAGTCCATGACAGCCAGCACACACTTGGAACCAGAGGCTCCTGAACCTGCTGAGGGCAGTAACGGGATGACCCCACAGCGAATGGGAGACAGTGGATATAGTGGGTCCCACATGTCTACTACAGTGCCTTTGTCTCCCTCTACTCCTGTGGGTAGAGGTAAGATACAGACACTGTTACATGCAGTACATGTCCTAGCTGTCGGTGTTGTGCTTGTACCATGCGTATTTGTCTATGGGTGTTTTTTTCTGTTCACATGTTCACTTTCCTGAGACATTGTGTGTTTGTGTGATGAAGAACGAATCAGATGCAAGGCTTGTTTGGATTGTTTCAGCTTTGATACACTAATGCTGCTTTGAATAATTATTGTTTTTAAGTTTGCCAAATATGTATGCTTTATTGATGATGAACCATTCATCTGGACAAGAATATGGTAATAAACATTTTTACCTAGATTGGTAACTTCAGGTTTTTGTGATAAGAATAGTCAAATGATTTACATGAGCACATATTGAACAAGTTTGATATATGTTTTAGATTTGTATGTTTTAACAACTAGTATGTGTCAGCAGTACCTAATTCCAGACCCTTGAAGATCCAGGGTAGAATAGGTCTTTAGCAACCCATGCTTGCCGTAAAAGGCAACTATGCTTGTCGTAAGAGGCGACTAACAGGATTGGTGGTCATACTGGCTGACTTGGTTGATGCATGTCATTGTATTCCAATTGCGAGGATTGATGCTTATGATATCAATCACTTGTCGGTCCAGACTTGATTATTTAGAGACCGCCATCATATAGCTGGAATATTACTGAGTGCGGCGTTATACAACAAACAAAGACAAAAAAAAAGACCTAATACCATATCCTCATTTACTTATATTATGCAACATTTGCATAACCTGTTCTCTAACCTGTGACTTCTAACAAGTGACATACTATCCATGTATGAATGCTAACTATCCTAGATATATGCTAGTAACCGTGTACATCACGATGTCAGCACATCATGTATCACACACCTCACTCATCCTCCTGTAACTCCAGCATGCCTACCTATTCTGTATTGAGCTTTACATTGTGTATGCAGGGGCTATCCTAACAGTCAGTAACAAAAGCTTCAGTTTCTGTACAGCAGATTAAGATTAATCAAAATAGACAATCGTCCATCATGCTCTTTTCGTGAATTAAAAGTGAAAAAGAAATGTGGAATGAATAATTGTTACTCTATAATATTTGAGTACATGTGGCTGAATATTTGCTGCCTTGTTAATTTTCTTCTGAACTGTTTTCAACTTCAGAAGATTAAATATACATTTATGTATTCTGAGAATATATTTTTTTTCTTTGTGGCTTTGTGGCACTTTCTGTTATAACATTGTTGAACATGCTGGACTGATAATTAGATGGAAGATATACAGATGCTTTGTCTGGTATTATTTTGAGAATGGAAATATATTATTTTGAACAATTCGAGTGTTGTAAAAAGTTACTTTTGATGTTGAATGTAACTGTTTTGGCAGTTGTGATAATTTGGCTGATATATTCCGAAGCTGGCAACCAAGTATAGCCTAGTGGGTGAACTGAATGGGCTTCATAGACCTTTAGTGTTGTGTGTTGTCAATGTCATGTAGTAGCTGTTCCTATGTGGTGTGTGCATGTGGTAGAATAGCATGTGAAGTAGTATCTTATCATGCTCACCTCTTACCAACAGCACAGTGGTAAGGTTCAGGCAATAGTTTAAATGATGTATATAAAGGTGATTCAGATTTATATGGGTACAACAGAGTATAAATTGATGTTTTATTGATACCCGGAACATATAATCCTGATATCAGAAGGAATCATAATATTTGAATTGATTCAATTTTTTTTGTAATATTATGTTGGCTGATATATACCATGATATACAAATTATATTTTCTTAACTATGTATTTCTTGAAATGAAAAATAATGGATAATGTGATACTGAAGTAAGAGTTTATTTTATTTGTAAGTTGTGACATCTGACAGTAACATTCTAACGTTCCCGACTCCTCTGTTTGCCATTACTAACCCTACTGTCCAGTGGTATGTATATATCATCTCTCATCCACTCATCAGCATGGGACTGCCGCCACCTGTACATGTGTCCACTACTCGGCTTGAATGACACCTGTTTTGCTTTGCAGGAGTCCCCAGCACAAGTTCTTCTGGTACACCTCTCACTCCTTCGGCGCGAATCTCGGCCCTAAACATTGTTGGAGATTTGTTGCGGAAAGTGGGTGTAAGTAGTCAACTGGCTGGCGGCCATAATTGGCACTTGGATGCTGGTTGTGCATGTGATGCTGTTGCATCTCAGACCTGTTTCTTGAATAGTCACCTTGCCTTGACTTACTGCCTGCAGTAACTTGATAACATTTCCTTCCCTTTGGAGTGATTTTGGTGCATTATGAAGTAGACTTACTAACGATTATGGTTTCATTTCATATCATTCATATGTATTGATACATAGTGTTTGTGTTAGAAAGGATCAATCATAGGTTGTTTGTGTATCGTATGTGTAAAGAAATGTTTGAATCTTCTTGATAACCATCAGATGGCTGGCGTCTGGGAATTTCTATGATTGTTCTGAACAAGAACACATGAAGTCGTCTTATGTTGCTTTATTATGATTTGTCAGTCAATTGCATTATGAAAGAAATATTGTCAGCACGTACACCTTAATTATAATAAAGAATCAGTTGATATTTTTTTGGACAATCTCTGAAAAACAATGACTGGAGATCTTTGTTTAAGAAATATTGTTATTGTGCTATTTTGATCACAAATCAATTTTTATATTTCTCTTCTCTCTCCCCCCCCCCCCCCCCTCCCCCCTTAGTCGTCCGTCTGTAATTATTTTGGAAACCGTTCAATATTATTCATAAAAAATTAGCAGATATATCAAACATCCTGAAGTGGTGCCTTTTGCTATTTTTGGATTTTGGGCATTTTTTGATAGCTCAATAACTACTCTTGTATACAGATTAGATAGAAATTCTGTCACAAAGTTGGACTTAAAATAACAGACAGATGATTTAGGTTTTTTTAATTTGTGGGGATCGGGGCATTTGTCATCTCCTGATGACCCGTGTTTTGTACATGTTGTACTCCTGTTAATAGATAGGTAACCTACATATATATCCCTGTTATATTGGTTGAGTACCTAGTGTTTTGCTGGATTAGTGTGATGGTGGGATAATATTTAGGCCATGAAGACAAATGGTTGAACTTTAAATGATGTTATGGAAATTTGGAAAGAAATATTTGTAACCTTTGATCATGTGAAAAAAAGTCATCCAAATTGATTAAATAATACATGAATAATTTCATCTCCTATAAAAATTAACATACTGTGTGGAACATTAATTTCATTTATTGTCTATGAAAAACATTTCTATTTTAGTTTATATCATGTTTCTGATTAATTAGCTTGTGCAACTTGTTACCTTATTGTAGCCGATTGTCGAGCAGTGGTAACCTTTACACTAAGAGTATTCGGTAGGGATTATTTAATTGATATTGTTTTCGACTTGATTGTCAGCGAAGAATAGGTCTTTAGCAACCCATGCTTGCTGAAAAATGCGACTATGCTTGTCGTAAGAGACGACTAATGGGATCGGCTGGTCAGTCTCGTTAACTTGGTTGATGCATGTCATTGTATCCCAATTACGTGGATCGATACTCATGATGTCAGTCACGGGAATGTCTGGTCCAGACTTGATTGTTTACAGACCACCGTCATATGACTGGAATATTGCTGAGTGTGGCGTTAAACAATAAACAAACAGATAATTGTCAGAAGTTAGAATGTGAAGAGGCTTAGCATGGACAGTATGTTAAAGAGTGTTTTGTGTACTAACCATGCTAACAGAAGTATTTTTTGGTGATTCTACTAGATTTTGCAGATTAGATTTTGCTGTGCCGATTCAAATATGTGTATGTGAATGCTTCTAATAATATTAAGAATGGTAGATTGGACAAGAACTTTTAATTGGCCATGTCTGTTCCGTATCTTGCGTCTGTATCTGTGAAGTTAACCTGACAGAGCCACATCTGGAATTTGTTTCTGAAGAGGAAAGCGCCTGAGGCAGACACCTTTTCAGACTTTCATTTCACTGTAAACTTTGCTATTCTCATGATTTGGATTCAAATTTGTTTTTAATTTCTTATATGGAAACACAAGTGGGGAAAAAACAAGATTTCTTGTTGCTTACATTTTATTTGGGAATTACAGTTTGTTATTTGTGGTGCCTTAGACATGCTAAATATATTAACAAATTACAATAACACATGATTATGATTTTTTTTATATAAATAAGAAATAACAATTGTGATTTCTTTCAGGCCCTCGAAAGCAAACTAGCCTCATGTCGAAATTTTGTAAAAGATCAGCCTCGCAGTGGTAAAGTAGTCGCAGGAAGTGCAGTAGATTCTCCAAGGTGAGTAGACACACAAGTCAGACCTGTTGCATATTTTGATATTATTTGTTTGATCTTATTGTTTGTTAAGAAGCTCTCTCTAGTCCTCCATATGATTGTACAATGTGTGAAGTCCATTTCTGGTGTCCCCCGCCGTGATATTGCTGGAATATTGCTAAACGTGGCGTAAAACCATACTCACTCACTCCATATGATTGTTCCAGTCTGGGAATTCTCTATCTAAATGCTTTGTCAACATGATCCATGTCAGTACTTCAGTGTGACGAATGTAATGCCTGAATTGAGAGGAAGATGATTCAGTATATCATTTTCACTGAAACAAGTGCACATGGTGCTTAGAAAATTGACAAGGGGGGCTTATTAAAAGCAATCGCCAGATATCAAGTGGTAGTGAACAGACATACTTCACAAACATCGATGAAACTAAAGCATTTTCAATAATAGTTACAACTTCAAGGCAATTATTAACCCTTTTCGCGCTGCCGTTTTCTGTATATATAAATCTGTAATAATTATGTACACAAGAAAATGTGGACTATTATAAATATTCGTTCTTTGTAGCGGGCAGTTATTAATATTACTTTCAGATTGGTCTAAAAGTTGGTCAGGTGTGCTTATTGGGGCAGGACGCTTAATACGGCATAAGTCTTAGTCTCTGTAACTTGGCTGATTATATCCAGCAGCATGGGCTGTTGATCATGCTGTGACTCACTGGTTATCCCCCACAACGTGTATATTGCGGGGGTATTTAAATGTGCGTCCAATCGTGCCAGATGTCATTTTCATAGCAGGTCTTGTAAACCGTACAGTATATCTTCACAATGCAATTCAGAACTACCGATATGTGTTTAGAGAATGGTTACATCAGGGAATCAAGTTGAATCCGACACCCCTGCCCGATATGCAAGTTCACGTTTTGCAGTCAACTGCAAATATGTTCATGAGTACACAGATGTGCAATGGGCAGATGCTAGGTTACTGGGTAGAGAAACATAGGAAAAGATGCCTTTTTCATTTCTTGTTCATTTTTTCCCTGGAAAAGTTGGTACCAACCCTACTTCTAAACTTTATGGACTATATGTGTACAAAATATACCTGCACTTGGACTAATGTTTGAAAAAAATGTTCGACCAAGTGCATTTCTTTGGTGTAAGTCCTTAAATGGTTTAGAAATAGGTTGGTATTAACTTTTCTGAAGGGTGTGTGTATGATCACTGTGACTGAACATGCACTGAAAATGCTTCTTTTCAAATGTTTTGGGGCCCAGTACCCCTTCACCTCAGCTGGTCTAAAATGTGTACACACTGATATCATTTACCGTTGAAATGCTGCAAAACGTGAACTGGTGTATCGGGAAGGGGTGTCTGTTCCATCACTCTCCACCCTCTCTGGACGCTTTATTTTATTTTGTGGACACTTGAAAAAATATGTCGCATACAATAAAAAAAACTGAAAGAAGGTCCATTTATGCCAGATTCGTAGACCAAGGAATAAAAAAAATAAAACGCCTACTTTTTGGAAATCAGTACATGGGTAGATGCAGTGTGTATCATATTGTCAGGTGTAACTTTGTGACACAAAATGTGACTTTTTAGACATTCTCCGACTCAATAATGTTTCCTCTCGTGTTTTACAGAATGAAACGGATGAGCCGTGGAGGCACCATGGCCTCCCAGCACAGCATGAAGATACCCGTGTCTTGAACATACTGATGTGAAGAGACTAGCAAGTAGAAAGATGTCTAGTCACCACCCTGTGCATTTACCTTACAACGTGGAGTCCGCCCAGTGTGACAGTCTAATACATCATTGGGCAGACTCACACTGGCTAGACGGACTCAGTGATAGACAAGACTTTGGTCGTCAAGTGCTTGTGACTGAAACCATGTCACTGGTTATGGACAGCCATGAGGCTGTATTCATTTTGTCTCATCTTTGGCTTTTATTTCCTATGGAGTCTGAATGGGGGAGATTCAAGAGTTGTGCATGAAGGAGGATTAATCATGCAGGATTTGACTGATTCACTTCGGTGTCACAGACTGAGGATAGGAACTCAACAGTCTTTCAGATCTTAAAGTTTCCAGGATTCTTCTTGTAAAGTTGCATAGCTCGCAATTAACGTTTTAAAATTTGGATGTCTCTGTGTCCTTAATTTTTAGTGTCCACTTCAGTTGAAGTACTTTAGTATCATGCACTGGATGATTTGCAATGTTCTTCCATGAAGTCTGGCAAAACAGTGATTGTAATTATCAATGAATGTGTCCAACTTCACAGTGTAATGGTTATGGGGGTAATGAAAGAGTAAGTGATCGTAATATGTCATGGCTAGTGTAGTTAGACTGTGAGTAACTAGGTCATCAACTTTTCTCTTGAGGTACTAGCAGGAAAAAGTACCTTTGCATACATTGTGGACATGCTTAGTTATTGTGAGTTTTAGAAGCAAATAACCCAACGTCCATGTTTGTGCTATAAGATTTGAGATATGCTATGATAATCATAATTAAGATGTGCCTCATAGTATACACTTTCTGATAAATCTAAATGAATTCATATTTTCAAAATCACAAACTGCATTGCTATTTGATCTTGTGAACATTGGTTATTGGTCATTCCTGCAGTAGTTTGAAGAGCTAAGAATTAATGAAATGTGTCACATTTGTTTTGTCCCATTACCTTTAGAAGTGATAAGAACTTCAAGAAACCTAGGGCTGTCATGACAGGTGGTTTGTTGTGTACACATGTGGAATCTTTTTTTATGGTCCATGTCAACTTTTGTTAGAAAAGGCCTTCAGCTACCCATGCTTGCCGTAAAAGCCAACTATGTTTGTCGTAAGAGGCGACTAACGGGATCAGGTTGTCAGGCTCACTGACTTGGTTGATGCATGTCATCGATTCCAATTGCGTGGATCGTACTCATGATGTCAATCACTGGATTGTCTGGTCCAGATTCGATTATTTACAGACCGCTGCCATATAGCAGGAATATTGCTGAGTGCGGCATTAAACAAAAAAAACAAAAATAGTGTAGCAGTCTTTTTGTAATATCATATAAGCACAATACTTTCCACTGCTAGTCCACTTGAGAACCTACTTGATAATTTGGAGTTCGTACACAATGCATTAGGTATCAGAGTGATTGATTATTTGATTAACACAACATTTGCAAATGTATATCTGAAACTCATAATAAGTATGTGGACCAAGTATGAAGAGTTTCTTCATTTAACATCTAGATGTTGTTTTGATGTTGATATTTGAAAGAGAATATTTGAGCTTTAATCATGCAAGTCAAAACCTGCACCAGTAATATTCATATTGTAAATAATATCAGAATGGAATTTGATAGCAACGACAAAACATGTAATCTAACTGTCGTAAGAGGCGACTAACAGGATCAGGTGGTCAGGCTCGCTGACTTGGTTGATGCATGTCATCAATCCCAATTGCGTGGATTGATGCTCATGATGTCAATCACTGGATTGTCTGATCCAGACTCGATTATCTACAGACCGCCATCACATAGCTGGAATATTGCTGAGTGCGGCGTTAAACAACAAACAAACAAATAGTAATACTTGTATACCATACACTTCCAAATTACGCTGCTAGACTAATAGAAAGCCATGAAGTAGGTAAGTACACCTGTGATCTATATATGCATCGAGTAAAACATTCAGCTGAATAGTGTAGAAACAGTCACTGTGTTGATCACTGCCAAAACATGTATATGTATATAAGATAAATGTATCCTTGTTTCCTCAAGGAAAGCTGGGTCAGATGACGTGTGTCTGTATATTCTGTGAGAATGGTTAATGGGGTCAGTTTCTCCTTGACAAGTTGTGCTCTATAACCTACGTCCCTGGATGCTTGGGATAAGGTTGAAATAAGGAATCCCTGAATGGCTTCAATTCTGAAAAAAAGGACTTAAATTCTACAAGTTGAGAAGTTTTATCATGTTATAGTGCTGACTAGAAAATGAGCATCCTGATGATGCGTCCACATACACGTTCAACATTTACAAACTTCTATATTGTGGGGGTGTCATTGATTAGAAGACTTAGTATCCATATATATATTAGGGGTGAAACGATACCGCAAGGTCATGATACAATACGTATCACGATACATAGGTCACGATAAGATACGTTTCGCGATACGCATATTTCCGTCAAATCACATGGAAACTTCTCGACAATAAGTATTTCAGAGCAGGTTCAAAAGTCAAAACTTGCTGTAGACACATACTCGTTGTGGCTAGTTTTTGTAGTGAACTTGAAACGCTAATTCCAACACATTTTGCTATATCTGACTGACAAAAAACGCCAGGGGTCATTAAATGAGTAGTAAGTAATTTATTTCGGCAAGTTTATCGTGTATCGTGTATCATATCGTCACATGTAAACTCACGGTGCACCGATGTATCATTTCACCCTAATATATATCGACTTAAAAGTATCATGATATATTGATTAATAACAAAATTAGTTATACTGTATGTGTACAGATACAAAAATCCTATCTGGACCTGCAATTAAAACAAATACCCATCTGGACCTGCAGTTAATCAACTTAATGTTAAATATGAATGAACTAGGCTGATCCAAGAAATGGTTAAATTTTAATTTACTGCCATCTCATTTTCCATCTTAATCAAGGTATACAAGGCATACATTTCCGTGATAGTAAATTATAAATATAATTTCAATATTCCTAAATTTTTATCCATATATTATCGACATTAAAAAATTATTGTAACATCATTATAGCGATATACGATGACATCCCTACTATATTGTATATACAATATACTATTTATTTGGTTTTAAGGCCACACATAACATAATCTTGTAGTACTAACCATGCTAACTAATTCATAACAATAATTTATTTGTAAATGACATTATTTTTATCATTCTCCATTTTAGTCACTTACATCAGATCATATCATTCCTGTGGCATTTCCATGATTTAAATCGGGTTCTCCTTTAAATTCAATTTTACCAGTGCATCTTTGTATGATTCAAGCAGTGTGTTCTTGCGTGTTGGTTTTGCCAGACTTCATGACTATAGAAACCCCAGGGTACTGATGTGTCTATGCAGGAAGACACAGACCTTGTGTGTATCCCCTAAGCTTCCTTAAATGTGTGTAGTAACAAAAAGATGTTGTTGCAACAATTTTGTACCCTCGACACATGAGGTCTGTTTGATCCAGGAGTGCGTAGCTGTTGTATATATTGTCGCTATCCATGAAGCAGGAGAAATTGGGAATGGAAAAGTGAATTTGCTGGTCATCTCATCGAAATGGTCACATTCAGGACAGGGATCTTAAAAGGACTTTAGTGTTGAAGGTCGGTGGCTGCTGCCTAATGCTGCTAAATATTAGTCTTGTTTGAATTATGACATCAGTGAGATGTTAATTTTATGGGAACATTTTTCTATTGATTTCATTGTTAATGATATTGCTCAGTTTTGTTACTTTTCCAGTCCTTATTTCTTGGCGATTCCCTTTTTCATAATGTGTCCAAGTCATTCCACTATCACAGTCAAGAGAATGATTATAATGGTGCTCAGGGTTTTAATCTTTCACCCTCTCGGACAGTCTTTTGTTTCAACACGAATGTTACCAAATTCCTGTTTAGAGGATGAAGTGTTGAAAGTAAACATTCAAAACATTATGTAAACGTGTCTTTTTATAAAAAAATAGTCATAAGGATGTATCAACTGCCTTTCAAATCAAAACTTTCTGAGGAGTATCTTTATCATGTTACTTTCTCATGTGCATTTGAAGTAAAACATTCTTGATGCCCTCATGCAAGTTATGAAAGGCATTAACACAAGTAACAATCATTTCATTCCGTGAGAAATCCAAGAGATGTAAATACTCAGTAGATAGTTACTGGCAGTAACTTACCTGCCTTTGGAAACCGTGATCTTCATCATGATAGAATTCCTCTCATTTTTGTTGGAGAGACAATGTTCATAAAGCATCTTTACTTTGGAAATATGGTTATTGAATTAGTTACCATAGTAATGGCTGCAAAATGCATTTAATGTTGTGGGTCAAGCTAGTGTTATGTGTATCATGTGTCCAGTAAGCCTCGGTTCCACTGCGGGGCTGTTCTTGGTGCCCAATCTTGATAAGGCTGCAAAAGAAAATGCTGATTTGGCATAAACCCCTCTGCTCAGTCCCTATACAAGCATACATGGAGGAGAATATGGTCACAGTATTACCACACTTGCACAACTTGTCTAATAATGCCAGATGTGCAGTGAATGATGTTCACTGTGTCAACATTTTCTCTGCATTGGACCAAATTCATGCATTTGATTACACTGCTACCACTTCTTTGTCAAAGCAGCACTCAACAAAAGTAACCTTGACGTAAGCGGACAGGGACCCCATACATTTTGACTGTCCTAGTATTCAGTTTGATTCAGCAATGTTTGTCATCATCTTCATCTACCTCATTTGATATTTGGCATGATGTTTCAGTTCCTTTATGAATATAGGCAATAGTATAAAGGCTGATACTAACCTCTAACTACACAGCTTTGAACTTCACTAGCAACCTAGTACTTTAGTGTGCACATTATACCAATTGCCCTATTATGTCTGTGTTTGTGTCACCTTCATCTGACAATAGATTGCACTCCGATTTTAATGTGAAACATATTAATTACACCAAATCATATGAGAATGCTTCAATATTGACTCAATCTCATTCAAATTAGATCTTGGAGCTCGCTGATGTTACACAAAGCCTTGTTTAGCAGTAACGAGCACCAATATATCCAATTTTCATGAGATTCCTATTGACTTGTACTAATTTGAAGCCTTTTTCTAACCACTGAAGTTAAAGCATGAAGTGCTATTTTCATTAAATGTAGTGGATGTCTGTAAATTTTCTTCTTGTTTGGGAGCAATGTTGAATACATTGTGGTGTGCTAAATGGAATTGTAAAGATGTCACTGTATATTTTGTTTGAATACGATGTGTGTGCAAGACATGACTAGTGTGTGTTGTTTTGAGATAGGGTCAGCTGGTAGGCATGGTTTCAAACCAGGCAGTGTGTAGGGCACATAGCAACACTCAACACTTCTGTACTGTGACATTCATGGTCTGTCAAACGTAGTCTTTCTTTCGTCATATCCTGGATCAAATGGATCTTTTACAAACTTCTGTAGCCGCCAACCAAAGCCATGGCTGATTGATGTTTTTCTTTGTGCTTGTATATATACCTGTCTATATATATCTGGTTGTAGCCACTCCTTGAGTGTAGTATCGTTGATGTGCTGTCGACGTCATCTTTCAGCATCAACTTTCTTTGATATGCATGAAGTCAGCACAAGCTTCTGTCAGCCATGAGTTCAGCCAACATCACACCAGTCTGTAAACTGTACTCAAACTGCTGGATCATTTAAAGATGCTCTTAAATAATAAATACATAACCTGACATGTTGTGTTTTTTGTTTTTACCGATAAAATGTGTAATTTTGCTCTCTGGCATCTGTGAAAGCTTGTAACTATGATGATGAATCAGCACTAATCCCATTGGTTGACTTAACCACAGATTCTTTGGCCAGTTTACTGTTATCTAAAGCCAGTGGGCCAATTGATAGTCTCTACTCCAATATACTTGTAGGTACTAATGAGATATTTGGCGGAATTTTGTCGTAGGTACATGCTGGTCTGCTGGCCTGTGTTGTTTCTCTCACTGACAGTGTCATAATGGGTCTCCCTATTATTCAAAACACATGCAAGTTAAATAAAAGTGAGGACAATAACACCTCAGTTAGTTATTTCACCCATGACGCCAGTCTTCTCTTCGTCTAAAGTGCATTAGGACACCAAGTAGCTTGTTTTTTATGTCCAGACCATATAGATAAGCAGACTGCCTTCGTGGTCTGGTGGTAGAGCGGTTCCTTGGTTTGATGTCCGGCCGCATCATATGTAAAGATGTTAAAAGATGGTACTTCTTGTTACCCTGTCTGGCGCTCAGCATTACGGAGCTAAAACAAGGACTGGTCAGCTTGGAGTCGGTATACTGTGTCTGAGTGGGGTATTCATGTTTAATGTTCACCCAGTAGACCACGGAGGCAGTCAAATGTTTAAATGGATTTCTGGAATGGCATCTTTAATGACAATGATGTAAGAGAGGGCTAAGTTCCATATGGTTTGCAATTCGCTCTGCAGAGTTGTCCCCCTTAGGCATGCCAGAAACACGATCGTGTGTTCAAATCACTTTTAGCCTCGAATATGTTTCTAGGTTTATCAGCACGATACCCGTTTCACCTCAGGTGAAAACTTCTGACACCTGAATCACTGGGTTTCCTCCCACATACAGCTGAACGCTGTGATATCACTAGAATACTGTTCAAAGCGCATTAACCCAAACTCACTCACTCCACAAGTGTTGTTAAAGCCAAGACTGTCAGAACTCAAATGCTTGGGTTAGTTTGTTGACAAGCGCTGAGAGACCTCTGTCAGACAATAGAGAAGTGAAGGCAATGATTAAAAGTGTTTATTCCATCACTTACATGTAACACAAGGCTGATCAACAGCTCCGCCTAGAGATAAAGGATGAAAATATTGCCATGATGATGGAGAACATTACAGATATTCAATTTCTCAAAGTTGCTAAGTTCTCAAAATATTCTAAAAAGGTCTGAATATCAATAATTATCATCTTGTTCCATCATTAACTGTAGGTATCCTGTCAATAATAGATTTTGTTTGGGCGACATACAGAATTACACGTTATCTCAAACAAATATATCCATATAATATTTTTTTATTTCCAAACTGAAATACCTTGACCTTGGAAAAACGATCACAACATTCTAAAATTTACAGATAAGAGTTATGTCCCTTAGAAATAATGACATTGTGACCAAAATTAGCAAATCTGGGAACATTTTTCTCTTAATACAATTCCGTATTATTTGTAGTCTTTGAATGGCATTAAGAAGTGATACACATAAGGAAGACAATTTATGGATGTCAACTTTTTTATCATGAGGAACACAATGCTACGGAGTATAGTTAAGTTTCCACCTTTGTTATCTTATTACTTTTTTTGTTCTTACAGAAACATACATGTTATCTGCTTCATAGCAATAATTCACCCGATGAAGGAGTAAGTATAAACTCCAAAACGTTGTGTTCCTCATAATAAAGCAGTTGACATCCATATATTGTCTTCTTCATATATTACACTTGACCCAATTATTAAGCATGGAGTGAAACATTGGGAAACTTGTTTGTTATGAATGAGGTATTACTATTTGGCTTCCTGGAGAACTCTGCCAGAAACAAACACGGACTGCTGTGCTGAAATGTGGATCCAACATCCACAATATATTATCATAAAAGGTCTTTCTACATAAACTCGTCACCAAGTTCCAATATTTGAAATGATGATCAAAATGCAAGAAACATAACAGTACAAAACATTTTATCAAAACCAACACTCATCAATATTGCATGCACAAATAGTTTTCTCATAAAATCATTTTCAACAAAACAAAATATACATGACAAATTCATGCAAGATATACACACAGATTCTTTATTGTATCTTCAGCTTTCAAAACAATGACTTTCCCATAAACAAAAATCTTCATAATATATGAAATCAACTGTTTTGATTAGCCTCTTGTCCAGGTACTCTGAACAACCACAGAAAACATCTGTTCCAATTCAGAACATATGTGAATCATAAAATACTAATAAATAATTAGTAAAAATATCAACAAAACAGAAACTGATGAACAGCGTAGAGTGATTTTTTGGAAGATCCATAAGTTGCAGAGATGTTCATGTATTGAGTGCAAGCGCACTTATAGGCCCCGATGGATACCAACTCAAATTCAAGCTGTTCTGGTGTGACACCCACCATACTCCACTCTCATGCTGTCATCTGCATATACTAGAGTTGGTTTTCACAGCACAGTTCGTCATTGAGGTAAAAGATAGGTTATTATTGTATAACATCCTCTAAGCACTGCAACCTACAAAATGTCCCTCCATATTTATGAAAGGATTCCTTTTTGTTAAACTTTGGCCATTACAACACTAAACTGATCACATATAAGGTTCAAAGCAGCCTTTCTTTCACTGGACAAGTCACTACTGGTCTACACAGCTTCCGACATAGTTTCACTAGTCAACAAACTTGCGCTACAGCGATGCAATCTACCTAATAGGAAAAGTGGTAGTCCACAAGAAATTGTTACTAGTCCTGAAATTTCCTGGTCTCGGACTAGCAGACTTATCGTATTCGACGTAATAAGCGCCCAGGGCGCTCTCAAAATTATAAATAGGGGGCTCTTATCAGAATATTATTTTGGTGAAAAAAAAAACAGAGTTGAAAGATGGTAAATTTCGTGGTTTATGCTGACAGCCTGAAATGTTTATATACGACATATATATTTTTCCAGAATTTAATTTCCCATGATTAAGGATGCATACAACTCACGTATTATACACAAATAATTAAGTCTTGTGTACATTGATCAATTGGAAGGGGTGCTACTTGGGATTTTCACTAGCCAATATAATAGCAAATATCGACGTGGGCGCTTATTAGAGCAGGGTGCTTATTACGTCGAATACGGTATATTAAATTCAAACACTGCCCTCAATAGCAACACAGTGGCCATGTGTAACCCTGAACTCTTGATAACAAATGATAAATGTGGCCTACTATGAAAGCATAAAAGTTTCAATCAAAGTTGAATACTATGTCTCCAAAACTATATACATCCACTATCAACACACTTCATGAGCCAGACATATCGGGGCTTTCACCTTTCACCCTTTCTGGCAAAATCATAACATTCAACATCATAAAACTCTTTTCTTTTCTTTGTTTGTTGCTTAACGCCGCACTCAGCAATATTCCGGCTATATGAAGGCGGTCTGTGAATAGTTCTAAAATTATACGATAGACAGATGAATGTAGTTTCTTGTTTCACTAAAAACCTCAGCTCATAATGGTTACCCTACATTTTACATAAGTTGAAAGGACAGAATGCTGTTTTATTTAACACTTTTTACTTTTTATGTTTTACTTTTAGTTCAAGAGTTTTCTGCAATAAATTAGCCTCAAATCAAACTTGGCAACATATAAATTTTCTTAATATTGACTTTGCCCTCAAGACATTTAAACAAAAAAGTTGGATTGGCCTAATAAATAAAAGCACCTGTTTCAGCAAATCCCCACTTGCACATCAAGGGCCATCCTTGATTACCCAGTGTATCACATCCCCATACTATCATACCCTTGGTTACCCAGTGTATCACATCCCCATACTATCATACCCTTGGTTACCCAGTGTATCACATCTCCATACCATCATACCCTTGATTACCCAGTGTACCACATCTCCATACTATCTTACCCTTGGTTACCCAGTGTATCACATCCCCATACTATCTTACCCTTGATTACCCAGTGTACCACAACTTCATACTATCATACCCTTGATAACCCAGTGTATCACATCTCCATACTATCATACCCTTGATAACCCAGTGTATCACATCTCCATACTATCATACCCTTGGTTACCCAGTGTATCACATCTCCATACTATCATACCCTTGGTTACCCAGTGTATCACATCTCCATACTATCATACCCTTGGTTACCCAGTGTATCACATCCCCATACTATCATACCCTTGGTTACCCAGTGTATCACATCTCCAAACTATCATACCCTTGGTTACCCAGTGTATCACATCTCCATACTATCATACCCTTGATCACCCAGTGTATCACATCTCCATACTATCATACCCTTGGTTACCCAGTCTATCACATCTCCATACTATCATACCCTTGATTACCCAGTGTATCACATCTCCATACTATCATACCCTTGGTTACCCAGTGTATCACATCCCCATACTATCATACCCTTGGTTACCCAGTGTATCACATCCCCATACTATCATACCCTTGGTTACCCAGTGTATCACATCTCCATACTATCATACCCTTGATCACCCAGTGTATCACATCTCCATACTATCATACCCTTGGTTACCCAGTGTATCACATCCCCATACTATCATACCCTTGGTTACCCAGTGTATCACATCCCCATACTATCATACCCTTGGTTACCCAGTGTATCACATCTCCATACTATCATACCCTTGATTACCCAGTGTATCACATCTCCATACTATCATACCCTTGATCACCCAGTGTATCACATCTCCATACTATCATACCCTGGACCCATTCATTTATTTTGGAATGGCACAAAAATAGATATCCAATAAAACAAAATTTGTTCTTTCAGGATTTAATAAAGCAGCCATATCACCCGTACTTGTCTCAAGTTTTGTATGCCGTCTCATTCAAGCAGAAGCTAATGAGGACTTTCCTGCCCTGTCTACCATGTTTACCAACTAAAAAATCATTTAAAACATTTTTGTCAATCATTTAAATACATGGTTCAGTTAGATAAAGCTGCCATTTTGAACGTAAATCTATGACTCACTCGAATTCACAAGGGCCATTTTGATTGGTTGAGAGACAGAAATTCTGTGCCCCGAGGGATGGAGCACAGGGCCTTGTGTCATTGCTTAAATGAGTGTCAGAAATATATTATCTTTACACAGCGGTATATAAGATAGCTGCACCATAAATCACACTGATGAATGAAGAACAAGCAAGGTTTACTTCATGATAAAACATTGTTCTACCATGACGTCATTTCTGGAGATTCGCAACTTGATGACGCAGTATGTTTGACGACGTTATTTTTTGAGAGGGGAGTGTCTAGTGAGTTGTTCCCCATAGATGTAGTTGTGCAAAGCAGATAAACACGATGGCCAAACGATCGCATCCAAAACCGGGAGAGATATGACAATCGGTATTGGGAGAAAAGGTATAGGTATTCGACGTGAGGATTGTCAGAAAATGCAGGAAATACCCACCTGTGCATATGATGGACTTGTCCAACATTGACGCGGTCAGATTCTATTCAGGGAGTTATCAATATTTAAATACGGCTTAGTACTTTTAAGGCTTGTACATGTCACCATCATCCTTAAAGAGGCTGTACATAATGTTGATATCTCATGTAAGAAATAAACAACTCGTGGTCATTGTTTTTCGTACAATAAAACACTGAAGGGACTGTGCCCCTCAAGGTTTATTCTCCCAGCAGAGTTTTGTTGTACAATAAACAACTCCCACTTATCGTTTATTTCTTAAATAATAGGACGCAGCATTTCTGACACTTGTTTAAGCAACACCACAAGGGCCTGTGGGATAGAGCTGGTGATGTCACTATGCTATTGTGACCAATGGGACCAGGCTATTGATCCTAACAGTGAGTGTGTGAGTGAGTTTACACCACTTTCGGCTATATTCCAGCAATATCACGGCGGGGGACACCAGAAATGGGCTTAACACATTGTACCAATGTCGGGAATCGAACCCGGGTCCTCGGCGTGACAAGTGAACGCTTTAACCACTAGGCTACCCGACCACCCCTGATCCTAACAGAATGGCGACATAACACACTGGACAACCGACGACGATCAAGGACATGCACTTATCGTAAATAAAGTAAAACACTCTTCTTGTCAGCATATATCTGTGATGCAGGCTTATGCCCCGCTCCTTCATCTACCCCGCGCCTTCATCTACCCCGCACCTTCATCTACCCCGCACCTTCATCTACCCCGCTCCTTCATCTACCCCCCACCTTCATCTACCCCGCACCTTCATCTACCCCGCTCCTTCATCTACCCCGCGCCTTGTGTAGGCCCACCAGGGTTGTGCTGACTCAACATCTAACTGCCCTCCATATGTCAAAGTGGTTTTTGTACAAGGTATCACATTGCTCCACAACACACACAATGGACAAAACCATGGTTCATGTATCATGCATGTCTTCCTCTTCCGATCATGCCACTAAATACTGTTCACATAATCCGAGACTAGATGTACACAGTATGGGAGGACTGTACATACAGCTGGCCCAAACAATCAGAAAAAATAATCATAATAAATTATTAACATGGATACATCTTGTAACTTATTGGGTTGATTTCTGCAACTATCATTCCTAAGTATTCAATGCATTTCCACTGAGATTGATAATATACAATTCTATACCCTGAAGTACCCAATATATGTAACTCTGTGCTAGCATGGTTAGCTTTAAGAGAGACTTTGTAACAGATCTTTTAATGTTGGTCATATCAGCATTTCGGATTTTTATAGAGAAACATTTGGTCGGGAGATAAAAAATGAAATGTAAAAAATATGCTTAAAATGGATTTTTTTATCATCTTAAATTTTTACTTAGATTGGTAAAGTGGTAACAAAAATATTGTCAAAGAGATATTTACCATCTGCGGTATTAAATTAACCTAGCCCTTCTGATATTATTTATTTCTCTTAAGTTTTCATTTTTAAGTTCAGCGGATCTGTAAACCAAGCATAAATACAGCAAGGCCAAATGTGGGTGGAAATGACAGATATCATAGAGAACTCCCACTTAGGGAAAACAAATCAGCCTGGTACTGACAGACCGGGAATCACCAAATTTGAACCAATGACCAGCAAATCCTGGCATGGCTAAGGGATGTAACTCAGCAATTTGAACTGCAACACCTTGGGAAACTGGGCATCCTGTTCCCTGCTCTAAAAATCCTCATCAAAGACCAAAATGAAGATTCTGCATCATATACATATCCCTTCACATTTTGGAAAAGATAACTGGAGTGTTCATTAAACATTTCATGTCTTTTAAAAGAAGTTACATCCATCTGGACTTACACGATTAAACCAGCTATTGCACACTTAGCCAGTGTTAAACTGAAGGACGTTAATGATTCGACATAACACCAACATCCGTGACAAATCCTACAGCATTATTTTTGTCCTTCGTCAGATTGAAATAAATAGCTAATAAATGCTTTGAAAAAAGTAGTCATTGGAAACATGTAAACACAAGTAGGTCAGTAAGCATTGGATTGGAAGGAATAAGGATGAGATTCATGTTCAGGTACTTCCTTCTGTTGACCATTACCTAACTACATTAATGCTTGTTAGCAGTGTTCTCAGTGAAATGTTTACAAATGTACATATAAAACAGGGATGAATGGAAACATTCCCTAAGTCTCAATAGTGATAACATAGAAGGACAACCACGAACAAGCCGGGAATTGTACCAGCCCCTGGGATACTTTATAAGTACACAAACTGAAACGGCTAGTGATAAGTTGCATCCTCATTAATAACATATGTTCAGGAACATAAATCTAGTTTTAATTTTCTCCCAATCTATGAATACAACAAAATGTGGCGTCAGTAATGTTAAAGCTCCTCAGCTGTGACTTGCAGATCAACTGCATGACAATATTGTCTTGATAAAATGATAGCAATCGTCGTTAGAAACATAAGGAACTTTTCTTTGGAAAGGATAAATATGATGCTGATCACATCTTCATCTCGAGTACAAACAATGTGCCCACTGCACGTAGTGTCCCAAGCTTTAAGAAAATGAACAATTAAGTCCGGGGAAAACTTTGATGGAGACAATACCCTGACATAGCTCCTGTGGTTGGACAATACAACTATTTACAATGAATATCTTATATCCATGTCCTTCATACCAAGCTTGGTAATGGCACTGAGTTGCCATCTTGCATGCCAGACTACAATACACACATATAGCCAATAAAACACTTATAGAATGAGGCCCCCTTAGTCCGCACATGTCCTACACAGCTACTGTGTTGTACTTGAATACACAAGTGTTGTACATGAAAACACAAGTGTTGTACATGAATACACAAGTGTTGTATACGAATACACAAGTGATGTACTTGAAAACACAAGTGTTGTACATGTATACACAAGTGTTGAACTTGAATACACAAGTGTTGTACATGAATACACAAGTGTTGTACATGAATACATAAGTGTTGTACATGAATACACAAGTGTTGTACTTGAATACACAAGTGTTGTATACGAATACACAAGTGTTGTATACGAAAACACAAGTGTTGTACATGAACACACAAGTGTTGTATACGAATACACAAGTGTTGTACTTGAATACACAAGTGGGCCTATCATGTATGGGGCACTTGATATCATGTATGGGGCACAGGATATCATGTATGAGGCACAGGATGTCATCTATGAGGCACAGGATATCATGTAAGGGCTACGTGATATTATGTATGGGACACATGATATTATGTATGGGGCACAGGACATCGTGCATGGGACACAGGACATTATGTAGGGTGCACAGGATATCATGTATGGGACACATGATATCATGTATGGAGCATGGGATAGTATGTATTGGACACAGGATATCATGTATAGGGCACGGGATGTCATATATGGGGCTGGGGATATCATGTTTGGGACATAAGATATTATGTATGAGGCACAGGATGTCATGTTTGGGGCACAGGATATCATGTATTGGACACAGGATATCATGTATGGGGCAAGGGATATTATGTGTGAGGCACAGGACATCGTGTATGGGCACAGGATATCATGTATGGGGCACAGGATATTATGTATGGGACACAGGATATCATGTATGGGGCACAGGATATTATGTATGGGGCACAGGATATCATGTATGGGGCACAGGATATCATGTATGGGGCACGGGATGTCATGAATGGGGCACAGGATATTATGTCTGGGACACACAATATTATGTATCGAACACAGGATATCATGTATAGGGCACGGGATGTCATGAATGGGGCACAGGATATCACGTTTATATTTGGAAAAGGATGATTAGTCTGTACACCACCAGTGACACTAACCCAATGTGTGGACAAAGCAGGCCTCTTGCATTGGCTGAATGAGTTCACCAGACAAAGTTACTGAAACAACACATGGCCCACAGTAGCTAGAGAAACGTATTCAGGTGAGCTCACTCCACTGGTTCCCTCTCTATTGGGTATATTTCCATGTACCTACAGATTATGTACACTATGGACTATCATCAGAATACACCTCAGCAGCCCTACACTTCTACAGAGTATGCACAAACATCACGCTGCAGATCTACAGTCATTGCACTTGTGGAAGGAAATACCTGGAAAAGTAAGGTACTAAGTTGGACGTAAGTGTCAAAAGGACCTTCTAACAAAATTCTGCAAATACCATCAGCTGAGTTATGGATGATTTTTCAGTTGGATTTTCAATTCGGAAGATTTCACAACTTCTTACTGGAATGCAGATGGTAGCTATTATCATCACCAATTTAGAGTTTCAGAAAATTGTTTTTGAACATATGATGTATTGTTGTCCACCAAGTTGTTTGATAATATGCAAAAGAAGTGCTACCTTTGTCATTGTTTGTTTTACAGAACAATGCTTCTTTGTTCATACAAACATGGATTTCATCATTTCTGTACATTTGCCTGAAAGCTCTTCATAATACTTGTGCAAGGCATCTCAGGAGAAAACTGCACTTTAATTTCTTCATTGTAGAAAAGGAAAAAAACATGGATAATAAATAGTGCTATCGCATCAGTGAATGTGACACATCTTCACAACAGGACAGCAAAGGTTCCAATATTATTACATTCTACATTCATTCCAAGAAGGAATCGGCTTTCGAAACATGATTCTTCAGAACCTAATTGTACCCAACGAAGAATAGCAGGTTATATTCTCTACAACAATGGCCGTCTACATCCTCTCAGGCAAAGACAGGTACACAACGGAGATCATCTGTCAAGACCACCGTATCTCCCGGCTGGCTTCGATAGAGAAACAGTTGATGTGAAATTTGGTCATGATGAATACTTCACTGGATTGTAGCCATTACGTGTCTCCATCACCTGTTTAATACATACAGCCACACTGTGGAGAAGAGTCCTGAGCCTATTTTCACTTTGCTAATGAATGTGTCAGGCTTTGTAGATTCCACGGAAGTCAAATGAGCCCTACTGATGCATGAACTTTGTACATACCTACCTGTCCAAGATATGGCACATGTTGTAGAAGAAAAACGTTTGTAATCGAAGATCTCATCGGTCTATTTCCTCTCAGTTAGACCAGGCATAGAATGATACGAAATAGTGACCACACCACTAAGTAGCCTTAGGTATTTACAGGTGATGGAGAAACGTGGTTGCATACAAACTTGTGAAGTGCTGACGATGAACTTCGCCCTCTGTCAATGCAGATGACTTGCTGTAGGTACAAACGACCACAGCCACTATGTGGAGGTATTAGTAAGCACTACTCATCACTAATACAGAAGGGAAGCCTGTGAGATTCCTGATGCTAGGCCTACCACATGACTGCACTCCTCTTGACTAGCATAGTGTGAATAATTGGAGCGTCCAGTCACATAAATGTTCGGAGATCAGAAATGTGGCAGACAGACTTTACTGGCAAAGAGTTGAGAGACAACAGTGATCCAGAGAGCTAGGACAAAGAAAATGTAGGATATTCCGACCCGGAAGTTGTTGGGGAGCTGGTAGGCCTCGCCCCCGATCTGATCCATGTCGAATCCTATAGGGAAGATCACTGCCGCCAGGCAAAACAGAATCACTACAACAGAAACACATGGTGCATTAAATCTCATAATAACCAGACTACAACAGGTTCAGAAGCTCACATATATTTTGTGATAGAGTGAGGGATAGAGCGATTGAGAGAGTGAGTGAGAGAGTAAGTGAGATGGTGTGTGAGAGTAATGGATAGAGTGAGTGAGTGATAAAGTGAGTGGGTAAGTGATAGAGTGAGTGAAAGAGCGAGTGAGAGAGTAAGTGATAGAATGATTGAAAGAGTGGGTGAGAGAGAAAGTGATAGAGCGAGGGGGTGATAAAGTGAGAGGGTAAGTGATAGAGTGAGTGAAAGAGCGAGTGAGTGAAAGAGCGAGTGAGTGATAGAGCGAGTGAGTGAGAGAGTGATAGAGTGAGTGAAAGAGCGAGTGAGAGAGTAAGTGATAGAATGAGTGAAAGAGTGGGTGAGAGAGAAAGTGATAGAGCGAGGGGGTGATAAAGTGAGAGGGTAAGTGATAGAGTGAGTGAAAGAGCGAGTGAGTGAGAGAGTGATAGAGTGAGTGAAAGAGCGAGTGAGAGAGTAAGTGATAGAATGAGTGAAAGAGTGGGTGAGTAAGAAAGTAACCTCCAGGAACCCAGGACCCAGCTTAGTATCAAACACAGTATATGTTATGATAACAGCGGTAGACATTGGCACTAGTCCTATAGTCTTGCCATACTGCCCAATAGTTAAGGTATCATACGGACAAGTAGAAATTTGCCATCTATATCACTATAATGACTAGTGGACTAAAAATGTTACTTTCTAGCCCTGTGGCAAAAAGTATTATGGATAACATTGTCTTGTTATACATGAAACATAGTGTATGTACATGTATAATAAATAAGTTGGTATCCCTACTACTCCTTGTTATAATTCTATTCAACTTCTAAATGCCTATAAAGTCTCTCACTGCATGTGTCAATCTTTAAAAAAATAAACATAAGGAATACATGGAGATAAATTGAGGTGCAGCAGAATACGTTTTCTAATCAAGCAACCTCTCGTATCAAAACACGAGCTGTGTACTCGGGGGCAGATGACCATGGCGCACGCTGATCACTGTGTCGGACTTACAACACTGATTTATGAGTGATTTCGGTAATTTGTTGCAAATTAGGTGGGTTGGAGTCGGAGTGCGAGACTGTTATATTAACGGGGCTAAATAGCACTGATTTATTCGGTCCCATCATTTGTGGCGGATAATGCCGATTGTCGGATTAATGAGTGTCGGATTAACGAGACTTGACTGTATGTGCATATATATAATGCACAACAACATGAACAAGACCTCAACAAAATTCTAAAAAAGGATTTTCCGTATGTGACATACTTGCAACAAAGCCGAGCCAGCGGGCAAACTTCATGACCCTGTACTCCCAGTAGGAGACTCCGAGAAGCACAATAGTGACACTGATACACAGAATCCCCATCACGATGCAGACAAAGGTCAGGAGCCACTCCCCTCGCACCGGGTCCGGCGTGAAGCAGATCGTCGGGCGGCCGTAGATGGTCAGGCAGGTCTGTAGCAGACCGATATATGTGTCCCCTGGAAGAGAACGTTTCAGCTACAATGTTGACATCTTACAGAACAAATAGAGTAGAGATTATCAAACTGGTGCATTGGTTGACCTGGAGATCCAAAACAAGTATTGTGCTACTAGCATGACTAGTACAAGCATTGAAGGGGCTGTGGTCATACAGGGTACTACAGATATGTACCCTAGGTACTGTTCTTTAAATATAGAAATGTACCCTTACCGTAACTGGATTACATGTGCCCCAACTTGGAAATGTTTGCTGGGCACCAGTTGATGTGTCCATTCCACAAAACCCGTTAGAAAGTCTTTATTCAATCTCATTAAAATCAGACCTTAGTTCTCGCTACCGCTAAATAAAGATCTGAAGACATCCCATTAGGGGTCACATCAGAACGACCTTTCATCCCACCAATCAGAGCGTCTCTTACCAGATTATGAAAGTGACAGTCAGAATATGATTTCTTATCATGCAACCTCGAAAACTTTATTCCGAACGATAGTTACGGGTTTAACGACTGAATCCATACAGTCTAGCCCATCTATTAGCCATTCCAGAATGTTCTTTTGTTCAGGTTTCAAATTCGTAATCTAGAATTTGTCAAAATATGTTTCGAAGCGTAGTCGCCAATTCGAATTTAGTGCCGTAAAGCACGAGAAAGCTGCCTTCTGATTGGTGATTCCATTGGTCGGTCAAAGTTAGCCCAAGGTCGGTCTGACGTGACCCGTAATGGGATAGCGGCAGCGAGAACTAAGATCTGATTTTAATGAGATTGGTCTTTATTATGCAAGTTCTTAACATGCTTAAAGCACAAGCCTGTTTTGTTAATGTTAAAGTTATCCAATGCATGCTAAGTGCTCGTAGAATTTTAATCCCTGCATTTTTCACCAGTTTATTTTCTTAAATCATGCATTTGGAACATGAGTTTTGTTTCGTTACCATGGCAATGACCAACTGACCTCCCATAAAAGAGGGTCAGCATGATTTATTTACAAAAAGAAGATAGCTACGCAATAAATGGCAAAGAACAATGAAGAACGAAGCGTGGTTTATTTCCCGATAAAACATTGTTCTATCATGACGTCACTTCTGGAGATTCAAACATACGTTCACAAGTTGATGAGGCCGTATGTTTGACGATGTTATTTTTTGTGTCTAGTGAGTCGTTCCCCATAGATGTAGCTGGGCAACGTAGATAAACGTGATGGCCGAATGATTGCATCCATTACTGGGAGAGATATGACAATCGGTATTGGGAGAAAAGGTACAGGTATTCGATGTGAGGATTGTGAGGAAATGCAGGAAATACCCACCTGTGCATAAAATGGACTTGTCTGACATTGCTGCGGTCAGATTCTTTTGAGGGAGTCATCATTATATAAATAGGGGTAAATATTTTTAAAGCTTGTACATTTTATCAACATCCTTAAACTTGTTAAATAGGCTGTACATAATGTTGATATCTCATATATAAGAAATAAACAACTCTCACTTGTTGTTTATTTCTTAGATATCTAAAAACAATCAGTTGAAACATTGTGAAATAAGATGTACAACACATTTCCAAAAATTGTCATATTTATATAAATAACTTTTCATATCAAAAAGTGATTACATACCGTATTCGACGTAATAAGCGCCCAGGGCGCTCTCAAAAGTAGAAATAGGGGGCTCTTACTGGAATATTATTTTAGTGAAAAAAACAGAGTTGAAAGATAAATATCGTGGTTTATGCTGACAGCCTGAAATGTTTATGTACGACAGACATATTTTTCCAAAATTTAATTGCCCATAATTAAGTATGCACATAACACATGAGTGCGTATCATACGCGAATAAATAAGTCTTGTGTACATTGATTAATCGGAAGGGGGGCAAATTGGGATTGTTCACTGGCCAATATATTAGCAAATATCGCCTTGGGTGCTTATTAGAGCGGGGTGCTTATTACATCGAATATGGTATGTATGTTTTGTTTAAATGTAAAGGTACTTATGTATTATACCTCCTGATTATGAAACAAACTATAGCCATACAAACTTTGATAAGGGAACATGACATGTTAATCCACTTACCCTGGTAGTCATGCACACTACACTGCATTCTAATAAGTTTCAAGTATTTGGCTCTAACATCAATCATGCCAGTCTATTTTGGGTGACAGTCCACTTTTATGACATTTGGGCTATGTGTGTTATCTTGTGGCAGCCCACTGAAAGTCTTTGAAGCTTACATATTCCTTGCAAGTCATTACATGAGTTAATGGGGATTAGCCCAGCTTTGAACAGCACTTCAGTTACATATAAAACTGTCAGTTTAGTGTGGGATGGGGAAGAAAGCTGGATTGACGCAGGTTTTATATGTTCGCCAATGTTGTTAAACCATCAAGAATTGTTTTGTTTGTTGCTTGCCAACGCAATATTTCAGGTACCGTATGACGGGGGGCCTGTAAATAATCGTCTGGGCCAGACAATCCTGTGATTGATATCGTGAGCATCGATCTATGCCGCCAGAGTACGAGGACATACCATCAACCAAGTCATCGAGGCAGACCACCCGATCCACTTGTTCGCCTTATATGACCAGCATAGCTTGCTGTCGGCACCTTCTAACCCTGAATATCCACAGAGGCCACAAGTATTGATATAATGCTGACAGACCACATGACACACAAATCTTGTAATGGAACTCAAATCCTGGCACACTTAGGGACGCAACTCTGTGCTGCAAGATGCTTCATAAGACCACCATGATGACTCAGCCAAGTCTTTGAAAGTTTTATGGAAAAGGGCATTTAATAAAGAGGGAGTGAGGTTGGTTTTACGCCGCTTTTAGCAATATTCCGGCAATATCACGGCGGGGGACACCAGAGATGGATTTGACACATTGTACCAATGTCGGGAATTGAACTCGGGTCTTCGATGTGGCGAACGAACACTTTAACCACAAGGCAACCCAACCTTCCCTATTTAATAAAGAACTATTACACCTGATCAATGCTTGCACCAAATATATATGGGAACAGTGGTATTAATAATTATGAATACACTATACCATTATTGCCTGCTCTTTTGGCACAACAAAACCAATGGTTTACACATGACTTTTCATAATTATCAAACCAATAGTTGAAAGTCGTACAAACAGTTGGATAGTCTTATTTTAATTGTATTATTGTCTACTCAGAGCTTCTGGTACTCACGAAATGTCAATTCAGCCACTGCCTGGAAGTGGGTACCATTTTGGCACCATGTGAAGTGTAAGCTTAACAAAATAGCTTAATATGAGACCAAATTGACATCATTAACTCATCTTGTATTCATTCATGATCAAAACAATGACAAATGTCCTGGAATGTACACTTACCGCCGATTTCTGATACTATCCAGTTCGGCATCGCCAAACTTGTGACAGCGAATATATCCGCAGCGAAGAACAATGCCCCCGATATTATGCTCAGTTTATCCATTTCCAACACGGTATCAATGTTGACGCCGGATGTATTCCAGCACCTACATGTTACATTAGCTATCAATAGCGTGCCACACGCCACATGAAAGATAACACTGGCTTTTATCCACTGTCATCCTTCGTCGCACTCCCGTCGGCAGCCATAATGGTCGACATTGGTTTGTTTACGATCGCCGAGTTACCTCCCTTGATTCTCAGACTATACATGTGAAAACGACTTCTGCCTGTTCTTCGCGATAGACTCCATGCTAAATTCCTAATTGTTGAGATTATCTGTGTGTTTTAAGTTTACTCTTTATTGGTACTTCATGTTTGTATTTTATTACAGTATTGTATTAATTGTTCATCGAAAGGATACCAAACTAGATTTCTATTTCAAACGATGCTACAAGACCTGAATATATATAAGCTTCGGTAAACATTAATTACAGTCAAACACCGTTGTGTCGAAGTTGAAGGGACCTACCTTTACACTTCGAGTTATCAGAGGTTCGACACAACCGAAATTGGTGAATATAGAAGGAATACGCAGGGAACAAGCTTTTACTTCGAGACAAATGCAAGTTCGACACGTTGTTTTGACTACTATGAATTCTTTGGTAGCCATGTTACATCCACAGTAATACGTTTATTACGAACATGCTTATTCCGAACTGCGGTTATAACGAAATAAAATTAGTGGTCCCTTTTAGTCCCTTATAACGGTAGTTTACTGTATATGTTTTGGAATGTAACTTGTTTATGAGAATTTGACTTTTTGTTCTGTTGCGAGAATCCACTATTTTCAGTACCAATTACTTCATACGCACACATATTTTATGTCGCCTAATTGTACCAAGCCAGTAATTATCTTTAGAACAGAAACAACTTGGAATAACAGGGTCTGTCCACTCTTGGTCCAGTTCGGTAAATAATATAAGCAATTAAACAAGATTACACCACGAGTATATTGAGCGCATCTTCTAGGGTAAGAAAAATGTCTGTTATTTCACGCCGCACTCAGTAATATTCAGCTTAAGAAAGACAGTCAGTACGAAAAGAAATAATTCAATAACAATTCAATGGCAATCTGAATCCGTTTCCCGTCGCATTAGACGAAAAGCATCCCTGAAACCCCAAAACAACAAAATGACGCAATGCATTTTTTAAAGAACGACGGATATGTAGAGGGCAGTATGTGTGCACGTATTTATTTTACTTAGAGCTGCAACTTCACAAGGAAGTTAAACGGGGCAAAGGATCAAGTCGAACTGAAACGCCCTGGTCGGAAGTGGCACAATGGTTCTAAAATATATTTCACAGTCTCGTTATGGTTAAAGTGGTCTAAATCACGTACCGCTGTAGCTCTATACTTGTTAAGACTCGCTTCACTATAGCCAACTCGGATTAAATAGTAATATTGTGACAGCACCAAAATGTATCCTCACAAGAAGATATTCGCTTTTGAAAACAGCAGATAAATACGAGAGAGAGAGGTTAAATTCTTTTAGTATGCAGTAATTTGCGAACCATGTCATGGCGGCACGGTATGAGGGTACGGTGGCCTTTGACCAGACAACCCAGTGGCCACTATGGGCATCGACCTATACTGCATGGTGGGTCGGCCAACCGAAATCCCATGATATACATCACTCGATGTATCGAATTGTGGGATCAACGAATGATCAGAAGCGCTGGTTCGTCGCTTCGAGTTCCACGGTGTGAAATGTCCGTTCTTGCTCTTGAAGATTGGCAAAAGCGGCGTAAAACACTACTCTCTCACCCGAGTACAATATGAAATACTACGAATCACTTTCATCCGCACATGTTGACTGCCCATCTTAAGCTGACTGGTAATCTAAGAGTATTCGCTCATCAGATATACTGCATCCTTTTAATACGAAACCAGTGTATGTGTCCCTCGACATGGTGTGTACAATCACTGAAATGTCCAGGCTATATTATTTACCGACTGTCAGAGAGAGAGAGAGAGAGAGAGAGAGAGAGAGAGAGAGAGAGAGAGAGACTAATGGTTAGCTGTTCATCATATTATTATTCTTTAGAAAGATCGTGTACATTATGTTTCATCACCCATGTTAATATACTCTAAAAGAAAAGAATCGCAAAACGGATATTTTGGGCCATAAAAGCAAATATAGCGGACCAAGAGGTGCAAAATGAAGAGGATTAATGTGTTATAGTGTCAGTGGCGAAATGATCACCACAAGGACATGCAAACCATTAATCTGGAAACACGTACGATTCGGAAAAACGCACCCTGTGCATGAACCAAAGCGCAATGAGCTGCACGTACTTCACGTGCAGCAGCAATATGAACGGTATTAGAGTGCAAGGGCTTTTGATTGCCTGGCATCTGCGTCAATCGAAAAGTGACACTTCAACAACATGCCAAGATTAACAGAAGTGCAAAGAAACAACGTCATAGGCCGCTTGCAGGCAGGGGAATCCCAATCAGCTGTAGCCAGAGTTTTCAATGTCGCGCCCAGCACCATCACAAGGCTTTTGGGCGACCAAGAGTAACCACCCCCGCCCAAGATCGCTACATCCGACTGCCCCACCTATTTATACGTGAAATGACGACAACAGCTGCCTCGATCGCATCCCAAATAACCGGACTGCGCAGAATCTCCGACCAGACCAGCAGCAGATCTACGAACAAGGCGTCCTGTTTGACGCGTCATATTTAGTCGACAACATCGCCAACAACGACTGCATTTGTGTTCTCAACACAGGGTCTCCTCAACTGCGATGGAAAGATGTCTGGTTCAGCGACGAATCAAGATTCCTCCTCCGTCGAGGGAGTAGAAGAGCACGGGTCTACAGACGTCGGGGAGAACGTTACGCCGGAAACTGCGTACAGGAAGTGGAAAGGTTTGGTGGGGGTAGCGTCATGATGTGGGTGGATATCTCTCATCATGGCAGGACAGGTTTGGTCAATATCCAGGGCAATCTTACGGCTCAACGATGCATCAACGAAATTCTCCTGCGACACGTCCTCCTAAATCCAGCCAACGGCAACGGTGTATTCCAGCAGGACAACGCTCGACCACATACAGCACGGATCACTAGAGCCTGTCTACACAACAACAACGTCGTTGTTCCCCCCTGGCCCTCCAGATCCCCGGATTTGAACCCGATAGAGCACCTGTGGGATGAATTGGATAGACGGCTACGCCGACGTCAACCACAACCCCAGACGTTGCAGCAGTTGGCTTTTGCGTTGCAGGCCGAGTGGGCTACCATTCCCAAGGATGAGATTCGCATGGGCCGGAGATGTCAGACCTTCACCTTGGACTTTGCCTATGTACCGATAACTGAGATGACTACAATCACCAAGTGTTCTCTCGACATTTTGGCTCTATACCTTGTACGGTTCCTCGTATTTTTTAAGAGTGTGTTACTCTTGTTCATAAAGGTAAGGCATCAACTCTTATAAAGAGTACACCTAAAATTTACCGACTGTGAACGTTAACCATTGCACTGAAGTATTATCATGTTCCATGGTTTAATTTGAAACACAGGATATATAATTCGCTTTATACCTTAAATTGGAGGCTTGGAGTGGTGGAACATTTTCCAATGATTTCCGAGGATGGGTCTTTAGAAAAATGAGAGTGATGTGAACATGTACTCAACGGTTTTAAATACATTATAACTTGCATGTATTTGACTACAAAGATAATCTCTGCAGTGTGTCTTTTCATATCAAATGTATCAACGGGATTGGACGATAAAAGTAAAACGCCGAGGAATTTTTCGACAATTGTTGATATATTTGATATTAAAGGCACGTGGGTGAGATTCTACTTATCATCCAAATCAATTTTCCAGCTTTTAAATTCGTAAACAGTAATGAACAGTGTCTTAGGTGTAATACGTACAGCTAAACAGGCTTTAGTGACAAAGGGATTATTGTGATGTCATTTGATTGAGACGTCATAATCTCCAAAGTGTTGTGATCCAAGTGATCTCATCCAAGCGAATATCTTCTGTGGAAGCCAGTTAAAAGTCTTATTTCATTTCTCTTAAGACGTATTTATCACTAGTGAGGCTATGTAATTTCTTAAGTACTGGTTGATATGTTCTTACGAACATAATAGGTTTACTCGTATATATTTCTTGCACACGGTCAAAGGGAGGGCACTCTCCAAGCCTCGTTCCGGTGTACACCCAGCGCATGCGCTTCTCTGAGTATTGGCAGGTGCAGTGACATCTCCATAGAACAGCATGGCTCATACGCTCAGATTCGGGACGCCAAAGGTAAATTCAGTATAACTCATTCAGGACGAGAGTGATTTGTGTTGCATGTCTGCAGTACATGCTTTCGAAAATATCACCTCTGACAAATATTTTTGTAGAAAGAGAAAACTGCGTCTAGGTGATATGGTAACCGGCATCACTGAGTTTTGAAGGTCAAGTCTTGCACTGATAGTTTGGTGGAGACAAATGTTTCACTTACGTTTTTGCTTTCGTATTCGAAGTTAGTGGAAATTGGTACTCATGGAGAGGATGTCACAAATTTATCTCTAAATATTAAAAAACTTAGACACAAACATAAAGTTGACGAGACATCCCATTGTCTTTACAAATGTTTTCTGATGTAGCCTAATCAAATCATCTGTTTGTTTACGTTTGCAAGACCTTTATGAGCGCTTGTATTGGTCTCAACTGAATTATGTGTATGAAATCAGTCGTTAATAAAATTGCTGATACCATGGTAACAACATTGCTCACCCAACACAAAGACATGAAAACTGAGAAACTTCAAAACACTGATCTTTTTGAATGGTTCAGTCAAGTGACTTTGTTTTATGCATTACTTTTCAAACATTATTTTTCTTGCATTAGGAACTACGGAACTACAACACACTAGGCCTATCTATTGTCTAAGCCAGCTTCTTTGTTGTTAAACATGGTAACCAGCATTGAATTGGGAATATTGTAGAACATGTAGAATAAACTAAGTAATATTATTGTGGTCTTCCTCTATCCACATGATTCAAGTTAGGGAAATATTAAAGTTGAACCACGGAACTCTACTTTAAATCTTGATTGCTGAGTAATATTTGGTGTTATCTATATTGAGTGTCATCATGTTTTGCTATCACTAAATGTTGCGCAATGCATGTCGTCATGATTCTGCCATGTCTAGCTTAATGACA